TCTTCCTGTATCTTTTATATTATTGTTTCTTTTGAAATTCATTACTGAAGTTTTTTTAATGTAATGTAGTGGAAAAAGAGTCCATGGTTAAAACATAATGCGTACCATAAAAGATTAAAAGTAAATAAAAATGAAACATTTCCTCTGGTTATGGTGCATGTTTGGCAAGTTTTGTTGAAAGTTAGCATCTGGTTATAAGCTAAATCCATTTAAATATAATTAACTATGGTTTTATTTCCCAATTAGTTGATGTTAATGTATTTAGTCTGTTGTAATGTTTAGTGATGAATATTTTGTGAATATTTAACTAAACATTTAGCTTTAAAATGGTGAAATGTCACTGGAACACAGGCAGTTGTTTGAATGGTTTGTTTAAAAAAATTCTCTTATTTCAAGTTGATAAAGATGCCTGCTGATGACATGCGGTTCTCTGGATCAGCCTGAGTCTGTTGGAGTCGAGTCTGCTGTCAACATCTCAGTGATGACACTCACCAGGAAGCCCAATGGAGGGAGGAAGTACAACAAAAAGCAGTACTGCTTGTTCTGCGATAAGCCATACTCAAAAATTGCACGGCATATAGAGCAAGTTCACAGAAATGAAGTAGAGGTTGCTCATGCCCTCCAGTTTCCCAGAAAATCCAAGGAGAGGCAACAGAATTTAGATCGTTTGCTTGTTTGTTTGTTTGTTTGTGTGACTGTGGGAATTTCATCCATAATCACCAAGTTCTGAAAGAAAGTCCTCGTTCTGGGCAAGTAATATCTACATAAGTGCTAGTGTTTTCATAAATCAAATCCAATACATATTTGTAGACTGAACTCAAAGTGCAAGGTTTATTCAAGTATTATACAGATAAAAGCAGAGATGACTGATTAATAGAAGCCAGTTGAAAATAAGGCAGTTTTTGGTGTTTTAAAACATACTGTCGGGGCCGATCTGATCTTCACTGGGAGCTGGTACCAGCAGTGAGCAGCATAATGGCTAAATGCAATTTCACCCTGTTTAGTTTCTACTCCAGTCACCACTAGCTGACCAGCTCCTGCAGATCTTAGACGTACCTGGCTTATATTCATCAAACATTTCAGAGAAATGTAAACCATGATGTTACCAATAAAAGAAATATAAATCTGTATTGTATGTGTATTTATTTAACACTTTTATCCAAAGTGACATACAGGTGTGAAAGCAGGTTCACAAAGTACTTAGAGCAGTTGGGGTTAATGGCCTTTCTCAAGGGCCCAACTATGAAATCACTCTGCCAGCCATGGGACTGGCAAACCTTCCAAACACAGGCACAGTTGTGGATCCCTCCAGCTCCTTCAGAGTATCAGTTGGCATCTTGGTTGCTTGTCTGCTTAATATCCTCTTTACTTGGTGGCTGTGTTTTGGTGGAAAGCCTTCTCTAGGCTGGGTGTGCCATATTGTTGATCACAGGTTGGGGGTAGAGATTTTTTTAATGGAGACAAGTCTTTATAAATGATTTTGTGTAGACCCATGACCAAAATCTTGATTAAATCCATCTTATTTTGTGATGGTCAGGCGTCCCATCCAGGATGTCCTCTGTCTTCTTCCTGGTGCTTCCTCGAGTCTGCTCCAGACCATCCCACAACCTGGATCAGCAGAATAAGCGTGTTGAGCTGGGAGGGATTTTTTATTTTTATACAAGAACTTTTTACGATATATCAATACATAAAACAATGTACAAAAACCCGACCCTCCCTGATGTCGCATTTATGTGGAACAAGTAAGTAAACAAATAGTAACCCATATGTGACATCATGACAGCATTCATTAATTCAGCGCTCGGGGAGTAGTAACTTGCTCAAGGGACCTCAGTGGTACCTTGCAGGTTGGGGATTCGAACCATCAATCTTTCAATTACCAGTGCGCTTCCCTAACCATTAGGCCACTCACTGCCCTAAAATGCCCAAATGTTTAAAAGCAGTATTTGACATGCAATTAAATCTGTTGAGATATCAGGGGAACGGTTAAAAGGTAATGTCAAACATTTATCACCAGAAATGTAGTATTTTTGCTTGGAGAACAGAAGCAGTTTCTGTGAGATTCGAGTATTTTCTATACTGAGCTCAGTAAATTAGTACTGACCAGTAAATTAAAATTTGGTTTAGTGGGATTGTGTTTATGTTGCCTCTCCAAACGGGCCACTTCGGCTTCCATAGTTTTTCATTCATACTCTAAAGATTTCTTCTGTTGAGAAGAGAATGAAATAAGGGGATCCCATAAGGTGGCTTTGGCTGCATCTCACATAGTAGCAGGTGCTACTGGAGAGTGTTTATTATCCTGGCAAAATTGTGAAAGGTTTCCACAAACAAATGAGCAAAAGTCATCAATATTTAATAATGAAATATTAAAGCGCCATATTGGAGTTTCGGGAATACAAGATGCCAGATGGATATTTACATATTTGAAAGATTGTTACGAAACTTTTAGCTTGAAGATTGGAAACTGTGCTCCCTAAAATAATAAAAATCAAAGTCTCTAGATGCTGGATGAAACGCTCTCCAAATGTCCATTAAACCAGTATCATTACTCAAAGTACTAAGAATTCAAGGTAATTTAGGATTCCTTGCAAGTGCGGCAGGAGATTTATTTAAACTAACATCCATTATGCAGTTAAAGTCCCCAGATAAAAAACCTAAGGCCTTGCAGTGCTGACTGAACATCAATATCATTTAAGAAATAAAATGAGGTGAATCTGTATTCGGTGTGTAAAATTACGTTTAAAAAGGTATTATGTTGATATAATATAGTACCCAGCAATAAAACAAAACTTCTAGTGTAGCATCAAATCCTAGTGCACATTCTGATGTGTCCACATTGGCACATGAAGCAGATGTAGAGTCAGGTAGAAATGAACCCCAAGATAGTCCTAGTTTGAGAGACTTGTATATGAAGAGCTTGTGCATGTTTTACATGCGATTGCAAGCTAAACTCATCATCAACCATCCAGGTTATTGTTGAAGTAATTACTGGTTTAATGAAAATAGCCGCAGCACCAGCACAACATCCAAAGTTAAGCAAGCAACCGTCCCTGACACGTTTTTGAACTGTGCCATATGATGAGAATGGGGCACAATGGAAGGCAAACGCTGTCGCGATGTATATTGCAAAAGACATGATGCTCATGCATACTGTGGAAAAGCCGGGATTCATTAACATGCTAAAAGTTTTTACAAGTTTCTAAAAGTGTTTACAATGGCGTGGTCTGCCATCTCACTTACAAGCATCTTTTATGGCTTGTCAGATTGCACTTTAACTCTAAAGTAAAAAAAATAATAATAAAGTTAAAACTTGTTTTGAACCATTTGTCATCTGTAGTTTGATTTTGAGTAGGGGAGGGGAAAATCGATTAAAATTGAAAATCGGATTTATTGTGAAAAAATCGGAGATTTTATTTTTATGCCATATCGCCCAGCTCTACCTCAGATACACATTAACTCCAAGTTAAAAAAAATAATAAGTTGCACCAGTCATGAAATAATTTCCATCAAACAGGAATACTTTCCCCTCAAGCAGACCATGCTGGATATACAAAGCTTCTGTATATATTTAGACAAGATTAATCAGACATCAAAATCCCTTCTTCTTCTACGAACTTCTGTAGAGTGATCTGGAGAAAAGCAGAGCTGTGATCCGATAAGCAATGTTATGTTTCACAGCTGCTGCCCTCAAAACTGCCTCCTCCTGTGGGTATCGTAAGAACTGTACTAAGACGCTTCTTGGCAAATCATTGGGCGCCGGCATGGGGGCAAGAGACCGGTGGGCCTGTTCTATGTCTTAGGGAGGGAAATCGGAGGGGAGACCCACCCAGGCGGGCAACATTTTCTTTAGAAAATCAGCAAGTCCTTCTCTATGCCTTCCGATAATCTTCAAGTTTTTGCACCAGCCCTGATTTTCCAGGTCATGCACCTTTCCTCAAAGCTGATTTACTATTTTCTGTGAGGAGGTCAAGTGTGTACCATGGGGATTTGTCTCGTCTTCATCTGCCCCCAACTTCCTCCACAGACTTCTCTATTCCCATCACTTTCTTAGATAAAATGGAAAAAGAATTCTCGACGTAAGGAAATCGATGATATTTTATCGCTTAGGGCATTTAAAGACTTTTCAATATCATCTAGATGCACCAAAATCCATTCAAGCACAGATTCTGCCTCGTTGGGTGTTCTCCTCCTCCAGACTTGCAGCCGTATGTTGGGTAGTTTTTTTCTTATCACACTATAAAAAAAGGGTTTTCACTGCCAAAGTAGCGTAAAAAAATGACAAAATTTCCATTTCTTAAAAAGACGGTTACAGCCCTGTAAATTATTTCTTTATTGTGTATTTTAACATCGGTATATTTAATTAACAGAAATTGTCTGTAAATTGAGAAAAACTAAGGAATACTGTTATTTTACAAAAAAATCTATTATTTTAATTTCAAATGACCGTTGTTATGATGGTCAAATCCTGTAAATCAGATCATTAATGATATACAGTCATTGTTTATTAACCAAATAATGCAACAATATAATACAATTTAGACCAGTTATACCACTGCTTCAGAAATGAAACCATTAATTCATAACATCAACCTGAACTTTTTCTGTTTTTATATTTTTTGGTATATTTAATCTTTATAATGCACCATGGGGGACTTGTGTGGAATGGCATTTCAATACGCTGTATACTGTGTATATTGTTGTATTGACAATAAACCAATCTTGAATCTTGAATCTTAATGTTTGGAGTCTTCAGAATGGTTGGAGTCTTCAAGTTGGTGCGCACGTGTCGTTCTCTTCGCGCCAACTCGTGCTGCTGGGGGTCCATCTGGTTCAAAGTTGGCTGAACGTTATAAACGTTACGTTTGATTAGAACTTGTAGCGAAGTGCATGTATTTAGACTTTAGTTAGGAGTCTAGAAAATGCACGCATCTAAACGTTCATTCCGGAGAAAAATAAGCCTTTTCGCCGCGTCATTTTCGGCAGGCGCCGAGACATATCCAACAGCAAACGCCGGGCCACCATACACGCGCAGTTCTATGCCAGCATATTTCTCTACCTCATTCCTAACAATAACCGTTACCCTGGAACTGCTGACCAGAACAACGGTAACCTATGGTGCTGATGCGACTGGATATATTGGCAGATGCCTCGCGCAGAAGCACGTCACTGTTTAAATCATTTTTATATATACATCTGTATGTATGTATAATAGAGGATTTGTTAATAAGTGTCACAATTAACCTTGTTTTCCCCCTTGTTTTCTTCTAGGTTTTAAAACAGAACACAGTAATCAGTAAGTCCTCTTTACACCTGATAATTACTCAAATGTCTCATTAGTAATATGGCTTATAAGTACTTACTGTAGTTGACAAATGTAGGATTGTGGGGAAAAAGTGAGCATGGTAAATATGTTTAGGTGTCGAGCTTGTGGTGTTGATTTAAGATCAATGAAACAATATGTTGACCATCAGGCAATGCATACACACGAATCCCAGTAATAATGGGTGACAAAATTGCAGACACAGAAGATGCAGTGTGGCAACTTGTGATATTGCTCAAGAAAATTGTGGAACTGGTTTGTGCACCGAGAATCTCTACAGCTCAAGTGAGTTACCTCGGTGTGTTAATTCAAGATTATCTTGAAACAAAAACAGAACTGTTTCCAACTGAAACATTAAAACCAAAACACCACTATCTGTTGCACTATCCAGAGCTGGTTCACTCTTTAGGCTCTGGACTATGTGATTTGAAAGCAAACACTCATACTTCAAACGTTGTGTGCGGAGAACACAAAATTTCAAAAATGCGTGTCAAACTCTTGCCCATAACCACCAGCTTCTTCAGACCTATCTCCATTCAGGTTCATTTTCCCCTCCAATCATGCAGGTGAAGGAAAATCCATCAGATTTTGATGCAGAGTTGTACTGTGATGCTGTCCAAAATGCTGTGAGGGCAAGCCTTGTGGAGCCTGATTCTGTGTGCACAGATATTACATTTAAGGGCATCATTTATAGAAAAGGCTTTTTTCTGTGTATCACACATGATGAGACTGTAGAGTTTGGCGAAATTGATCTAATTTTGACAAAAGGCACCAAAGATGTGTATTTCCTGCTTACTCCTCATAGCAGCTCATATTTGCCCCAGTATGGACTGTACTGTGTCAAAGGTGTTTCTGGCGCAATGCTGTGCAAACATGCAGAACAGTGCTTGGATTTCTGTCCATTGCCTGCTTATGCTTTATGTGGGAGTAGGGTCATTTCACTTAAGCATAGTATTGTTGAAGACTAAAAAGTCAAGGATCAGCTTGGTTTACATGTGCTTCTTGTTAATTTAGGAATCATGGAGACAGTAGATGATGCCATAGCTGCCTACATAAGATCAGTTTTGCCCAGCGTCATATCCCAGCAGTCACTCGTTGGCACACTCAAAGACCTTGGTGTGGAAACACTTGAAGACTTGAAGTATGTTCAAGAAGCAGATCTCTCTGACGTCCTTAGACCAACTGAAGCAAGAATGCTGATTTCCAGATTTAAAGGTATACATATTGCTAATGTACTTTAATTATTGTGTCAAAACAGAACTAAACTATATCAGAATGCATATTCCTTTTTTTTTTTTGTGTTATTTGTATAATTTTTGTCTTAATTTTTTCTTAATAATTTTTCTTAATTATTTTTAATACAATTGCTGTAGGCTGCCAGGCATTTTTTCATGCAGCAACTCAAAGAAGTTTTATTAAATATTTACCAGTACTGGAAAATACATAGGTCTATAGTGCTCTGTAATAGCTGCTCCTTAACTACTCTTTAGAGCTATAATACAAAATGAGATTTGTTAATCTATTTGCATGTGTTTATTTTCACTTTTAAGTGTGGAGTGATGAGTCTGCCCACAGCGAGGCCACTAAAGACAACTTTGCCAGTGGGACTTCAAATCCAAGTCCTGTCAGATGTGAGTATTTACCAGCAGTGTCAACATAGGTGCCTTCAGTAATACAATTTTAGCCTCAGGAACATATTCCATGACTCAGGAATATGTATTTTACATGTGTAATCTGTAGCAAGGGCTCTTTATTTGAGGTATTTTGAAAACTTGTGAAGTCAAAACATATTTTAGGTAATTGTGTACAGGTAGTTCAAGTCTTTTGGCAACACGCAGTCAGGACCAGTAAATATAAATATTTTGTTGTGCCCCCTTCCCCTCACATTGACTATGCAACCTCCAAGGATGCACATGACCCTTAGTTTAGGAACTACTGACCAAGCAGGAATAGTGCATCTAGTTCATTCATAGTAATAATGGTTCTAATGGTAATACCCATTTATCATTTCTTTTAATATAAATCATGCTCTTGTGATAGCAAATAATGATTTTGGCATGTCATGTGCTTACAATAAATACTGACATATATTTTTATACCTAAAAATTTTGTTTTATAGTCTCTCCAAGCTGTCAGGCTGTCAATGCTGGAAATGTTGTAGACTCTGCAAGTTCTTCTTATGCTGACACTCCATCTTCCAAGTCAAGCTTGTGTTCCACACAAAGCAGTAAGTCACATGAAGACCACGACTGGCACCATGATTTTGCGATTCCTTGGAGTAATATGCCTTCAGCTGTCAAAACAAAACTTGAAAAACAGGAGCGACCATCTGCAAGAGAAAGGAGGGAGATTGTTCGGCTAATTGTAGATGAAATCCTAAGCGTGTGCAAAAAACCAAGAAAGAAGCATTTGGCTGAGGTAGCTCGGAGGATGGTTCTGAAATATCCGAAGAGTTTTAAAGATATTGTTGCTCGGCAAACCATTGGAAGTGGGTACGATTCGTTAACTAAGCAGTTCCAGTGCAGAGTTGATAACCTGAAGCGAGAGGGTGTGACTTTTCAGCAGAAGCGGCCTCAAAGAGAATCCCTGGAGACAGATGAAGGTGATGAGCCCAAAACCAAGAAAATCGCTCGAGATTCTTATGGCTGCATTAACTGGCTACCTTGTTCTCTACCAGCAAGTGAGACCTCAGAAACCCAAAAGCAGAAACAGCAGCAACTGGTAAATATGCATAAGGAGAAAGAGAAAGACCAAAACAAAATTGAAAAGATCATGAATGCAACTTTCTGCACACAGAGGAAGGACATAATCACAGGAACTGACACAAGTGAACTGATGAAGATGTGGCCATATCTGTTTGAAATGTGTGGTGCAAAGGCACACTTTCTCAAACTTACTGGAGTCAGCTTGAATTCTGATTTTGATGTGGCAATGACCAAAAAGTGCAGAAGAATACAGGATTATTTCCAGTCACTTCCACGTGACAGACGGAATAAAATCACAAAGATTCTGTGTGACATCAAAGAGGCAAGCACATCCTGTGCGATTGCAGGCACGGTTCAGATTCTTCTGGCTTACTTCAATGAAGCTGAAGATAAGATAATTGTGAAAGTGGAGGACACTTGTCTTCCACGCGAGGTGACCGATGAGCAGCTTCCAGCAAGACCCTGCATTGTGGTTTGTGGTAATTATTGACTTCTTTACTCATTATTTCTTTTCATTGAATATGTACTGGTTTTTGTGCCTGGGTCCTGCTTTAACATAAACAAACCTGATAACTGTATTAGCAAATTAACAAAATAAAACACAGGTTAAAAAATCATTTCATTCATAAAAATGTTTATATTTTTGGCCTTTGCCCTGTTTTTTTTTAAATTTCCCTATATTCCTTGTTGTCAATCAGCTGGCTTTGGGGATGGTCTTCCTGCTCAGACTTAGAAGTCTATTCCAGCACATGTATGCAGTAAATGACAAGTCAACATGAGCAGGAAGCCTTATCAAAATCCCGTTCGACTGTACATATCATATGGTACATGGGGTTAATTATGACGTAATTATAAGCTTATTTCTTTTATTTTTCTTATTTATTTATTTTGTTTCTTTCTTCAGGAACTAATGCATTGACGGCAAACCGGTTCATGGTGTCAATTGACAAAGTTATTGTCAACAAATGTCTGTCATCGTTTGCTGATGCCCTGGTGCTGTTGTTTACCTGCTACTATGCACTGAACATCAATTATCCAGTGGAAGCGTGTGTCACTTTGGAGTTTCTTCAAAGGTAAGAGTATTTTAAGGGCATATTATGTGAATTATTTAAGACGTGTAATAGTATATTTTAATTTCTAAGGTTACTATGAGGTTATTGGTCCCATGTTGCAGGCCACTTGCTTACTGTATTTCCCCGTTTCAATAGGTACATTTTCAAGATCAATCCGGACAAAGGCACCAAAGTGGACAGGAAGCAGTCCAAGAAGCAATATGCCGTCAACCCAAAGGTCCTTTCACTGATAACTAACATCGCTGACTTTGAGTTGAGGGAGTAACCTGAGCTTCTATCTGGAGTTCTTCTACTAATTTATTAATGTTTATTATGTTCACATTTATTAAAATTTTGTAAAGCATAGAATTGCAGAAAAAAGAACTTTTGTACATTTCCTTTTGTATTTATCAAGGTAATAATATAAAGAAAAGTCTTTAACCTATTTTTTGTTATTTTTACTTATGCAAGTTTTATTTTATTATGTTTATTTGCATGTTTAAAGTGCAGCACATGCTGGTAGTTTTTTAGTTTAGTCAATGCATGCTAAGTGCCTTTTTGTAACATTTTGGCAGATGTTTAAATTATGAAAAAGCAAAATAAAACTGCTTGCATAATCGATTTGTGTTTTCATGTGTTGCGTATTGATACCTGGTCATTCCCGTATTAAGACAATGTTTGAAACTTAATGTTTATTTAAGACTTAAGTCTGTAAAATACTGGTGAAATTAAGTGTGGTATTTAAATTAAATCAACAGCATTTTTCTCTTTTTTTTTTATTAAAAAGAGGTATGATTATTTATTTTAACAAATATAATCTTTAATTTAACCTTTAAAACACATTATTGAACTGATTTAGAGTGTTAAAAAATGTTAGAAAATCCATTAAAATATGGTAGAAAATTGTATTTGCGTTAATTGGAAATACTGTATTTTTATTGATTTTTAACCGTTCTTAAAACATTTTTTCACTGTTTATTAACAGATTTTGCCTGGCACCCTTGCTGCCAGACTTTTGTAACTTTTTACAGTAGTTTTTTACAGTGCAGATTGGGAACGGGTAGAGATGAAAATGGGAAAATTTGTATTTTGCTACAGTCTTGACATGATCACCTTATACCTTGAGTTGACATGACAGTATATATTACATGAGTGAGGGAAAAAATCTTATCCTTTGGGATGGAGCAAAATCCTAATCAGTCTTATTATCTTATTCATGGTTTTAGTAGCCTGCTGCCAACAGCATCATGTACATCTATGTTGCTGAAACGGATGGACGAGCTGATGTCCTGGACAAGAATGAAGGTCAAGCCTACCAAGTCCTGAAGTCCCTTGCTTAGGAAAGCGGTCAGAGATGATAGCAGTGAGAAAATCCCACTGCTGGCTGAACAGCCCATCAAAATCCTCGGGAGGAAGTACACAGCTGAGCTCTTAGACAAGCACATGGGGAAATGCGGCATGGAACAGCTCTCCGACGGTCTGGCAAGGATCAACCAAAGCCAGCTTCCAGGAGAGTTCAAGGTGTTCTGCTACCAAACTATACTATAGCTCAGGATAATGTTCCCGACCGCACCTGCCATGGTCTGTCTCTGTGACTGGCCTCCTCGGAAAGAACTTCCTACAGCTGCCACTTCAATCCATCAGTGCAAGCAGGAAAATACCCGACTAGTGCTGGAGGCAGTGAGGAGTGCAAACATCCAGGTCTGCATTGGCCGTAAGTAGAAATCCCAGGCAGGAGTCGACTTGGCAATTAGCACAAAGAGATCATGGGCAGAATCTAGACAGGCAGAACAGGTCTTGGGTGGGGTGAAGCTCTGCGGGGCTGGTCAAGGGCCGACAGGAAAGGTAAGAAGGACCTGGTGGTGTCAGGTAATTAGGATGAAGGACGAGCACTATAACATCAAGGCTGTAGCACAAGGATGACAAGGGGCCTGGAGAATGTGGGAAGATATTGTTGGGAGGAACATCAGCATGGCAGACCTGTGGAAAATCTCTCAGGCAAGGCTCAATTTCCTTATCAGGGCAACGTATGATACACTCCCCTGCCCACTTAATCTACACCAATGGTTTGGTCAGGAAGATCACTGCCCCTTCTGCAGCAGTCAAAACGCAAGTCTTTGCACATCTTGTCAGGCTGCAAAACTGTTGTCTGCCAAGGGTGATACAATTGGCGACATGACCAGATCCTGAAGAAATTAGCTGAGGTACTGGAGGGACACAGACAGGACATGAGCAAAGGTCATCCTTCACCAGCAAGGCAGCCTGTTCAATTCATCAGGGAAGGTGAGGATGACCCAAGTGCCATATCAAGAGTTCTACCATGGGTAGCTCCCTCCACCCAGTGTTGGATAATGAGAGTTGATGTCGACAGGAAGCTCCAGTTCCCCAGGGAAATTACCAACACAAGTCTCTGTCCTGACATAGTGATGGGTCCAGTAGTGCCAAGACCCTATTCCTTATTGAGCTAACTGCCATGGGAGGAGGGAGTAGAAGCTGCCTTTGAAAGGAAGAGGTTGATGTACTCAGATCTCGCCGCTGTGTGCAAGGAGACTGGGTGGAAAACCAATCTACCTGGTAGAAGTAGGATGTTGCGGCTTTGTAAGTACATCAGCCATTCGCCTACTTAGAGAGGTGGAAGTGACTGGAGCAAGCTTGTGGAAGGCTCTGAAAGACCTGGCTGAAGAGGCAGAGAAGAGCAACTATTGGCTCTGGGTGAGGAGAAAGGAGAAGTGGGGAGAAAACAACTAACCGAAGGTCCAGCAGCAGGGGGTGGCATGGAGATATCCCTGTCACTGCCCCACCACCAGGAGACATTCCGGGGTTACAGGGGTGAAACGTTGCTGATTGGTGGTATCCGGCTGATGACCCTGCAGTTGACCTATGGGCGCTAGAGGAGGTGCAACAGGGAGAACTGCTAAAACAGGTCAACATTTTAATGTTAAGCATTTGTTTTCACTGTAGGCTTAACTATTTTTTTTTCTAGGTAAGATTAACAACACATGTATCTTTTATGTAACATCATAACATTAAGTACCAACCATAGAATGGCATATGGATATGGCAAACGTTTGTCGAATTCTGTACATTCGTGTGCTAGCTTGCTACATATTAAATTAGATTTATGGTAACGTTATAGCAACTCACTTGAGACCAAAGGACTGAACCCAATGTCCATGTCATGCGCTGTGGTTTGGGACAATGATCGGTGTGCAAACAGCTCCTCCAGTATTTCGGAGTATGGGAAAGAAACTGGATTGTAGCCATTTGTTTGTTTTTTCCTGGCGTTGTAATAGGCCTGTTTCAGGTGCTTCCACCAAACACTGATTTGCTCAGGACTCCTTTTAAATCCAGCGTAGCCCAGTTGTTCTGCCACTTTTTTAAACATTGCCATTACATGTTTTTCGACCATCCATGTATTTCAAAATATTTCATTCTTTCCACTGACAAAGCATGAACTGTTTCTTCGTCAAACCAAAAATGAATGGGTCTGGATTTTGCCATGGTCGTTCTCTGTTGGCATGTTGTTGTTGTTGTTGTTGTTCTTCTTCTTCTTCTTCTTCTTCTGTGTACCAGTTTTTTATGTCCTGTGTCAAAGCCTGGTGCAGGTACTGTGGAGCATGCGCAGAGCACCTAGGTCAGTTTGAGTCCGATTGAACGAATACATGCAGGAGTAAATCGACTCCGAATCGCAGTATTGGGTGTCTTAATCTGACTTTACACACAATTTCAGTCGGACTAACATGTCTATATGTACGGTAAAAGTCTGATTTTTAGTCTTGAGTAACACAATTAGTTTTTTCTAATGTCATGTAAACGTACTAACTGTGAGCACTACTGTGTACTATAGTATGCAATATGGATGTCTTTTCAGACTATTTTCTTAATTTTTGGGGCGCTTCTTACACACACAGTGTTCAGAGCTCCTTGATGACACTTAAAAATGTGCAGCTGACCTGTATCTCCTGTGCAGTGGAGATGGGGTCTGTGAGGGACAGGCTCACCTTCAGGCAAGTCGCCAACAACCTTACAACCACAGCTCCACAGAGCTGCCTCAATAATGGAGTCCTGGAACATGTCCCCTGACTTCCTCGGGATGCAAAAGAAGTTCTGCTGGAGGTATAAGTTAAAGATCTCCCAGGCAGGGGCCTCTGCCAGACACTCCCAGCACACCTTCATTGTGCATTTGGGTCTACCAGGTCTATCCAGCATCTTCCCTCGCCAACGGATACAACTTACTATCTGGTGGTGATCAGTTTACAGCTCAGCTCCTCTCTTCACCCAAGTGTCCAAACCATGTGGATACAGATCTGACAATACTTTTACAAAATCGATCATCAAACTGTGGCCTAGGGTGCTCTGGTGCCAGGTGCACAAATGAACACTTATATGTTCATCATGAACAAGCTCTGGTTAGCACAGAAGTTCAACAACTGATCACCACGCAGATTCTGATCGGGCAGGATAATCCTACCAATCACACCCTTCCTGGTTTCACTGTCATTACCAACATGAGCATTGAAGTCCCCCAGCAGAACAGTGGAGTCCCCAGAAAGGATGCCATCCATCACCCCTTCCAACGTCTTCAAGAAGGCCGGATACTCTGAATTGGTGTTCGGTGCGTATGCACAGACAACAGTCAGAGTTCGTCCCCGACTGGAAGTTATAGCGAGGTGACCCTCTCATTCACTGGGATGAACTCCAACGTACTGGCACCGATCTGGGGGGGGGGGCTATAAGTTGACCCACCTATGCCCAGAGCCAGGAGTTTGGTCCCAGAGCCCTGTTTCCTGTTAAACATAACTGTACCAGTGTTCCTCATTTAAGTACACTCCTAATCTCTGTCACATTTCTGTATCCTGAGGGTAACAAGGAGCCCCAACACCGTCATGGCAGAGCAGGCTGTACAGATCAATCAGGCTTCTGGCAATGGGCAAGCAGCAGATGGGATGAATGGTCCATCATGGTTTTAAAACAGATCCGACTGCACATTGAAAGGTGTGAAAAGGACTGACTTAAAAGGGGAATGTGGCGCCCCTGAACACCTCGGTTGGCCGTCCCTGCCGGCTGTGCGGGGTCGGGGATGGGGACTAATCGGGGCCAGTCGGGGATCTGGCCCCAGTGCTGGGGGGGGGGCACTCCTGGCACGCCCTTATTGCTCCCCTGGGCCCAACATCACATTTCACACAACACTAGGGCCTTGAGGGGCAATGGGGAGGTGCGCCGAGACACTGCCCCTCAAATTTTACTTGCATGTTAGACACCACATGACACCGAGGAGGTGGGTTGAGGCAGGTGGGGCTCTGCTGTCTGCCAGTGGTGGGGCCCTCATACCCGAACTACACCCACTAATTTTAATGCATTGTAGACATAAGCACACAACTCTCTCACGCATATACATGCACACTTCACACCAACATGGGACGGGGAGGGGATGGGGGCTGAGGGCCCCCCCCAACTCTCTGTCTCTGGCCCTGCGCGGGTGGGGTGGCCCGCCGGGTGGAAGACCCATCATGGGGGCGGCTTCCTCTCTTGGGCCGCGGGCCGGGTGGGCCTTGGCTCTGCTGCGCCGTGGTGGGGCCCTGGCAGGCGGTCCGGGGAATCTTGGGACGCTCTGGGCCCTGCTAGGTAGATTGGGGGGTTCGGTTTGGGCTGGGCGGGGGGTCTGCCGCTCTCCGGTCGCCGTGGGTCCGCTCTTGGGTGTCGGGGGGGAGGCCCCCCTTGGATCATCCTGCAGTGTCGGGGGGGAGGCGTGCCAGGTCGCTGCGGTGGGAGGCAGTCCGTCCTGCCGGGGGACGGGCTGGGGGGGTTGGGGCCCGTCCGGTGTGTGGGGGGCCGTCCGTCGGGGGGGTGGTGGTCAGGGGCAGATTAAGGTGCACAGAGGCCCCTAGGCTACAGTAGTCTGTGGGCCCCCCAACCCCACCCCCCTCCGCGCCAATGGGGGCCCCCTTGCAGGCTGGCACATGTGGGGCCCCTAGGCTTAAGCCATATCTAGCCTGTGCGTTAATCCGCCCCTGGTGGTGGTGGTCCTGGTTGGTGGGGCCCTTTGGCCCTGGACCCACCTGCCTCGGTCGGGGGGGTGCGGTGGGGCTGGGGGGCCCGCCGCCCATCCTCCCTCTGCGGGCCTCCCTGTACGGGGGTTGGGCGGGTGGTTGTCTCGGGGGCGCGTGGCCGTGGGCCCTTGTGCCGGGGGGGCGGCCTCAGTTGCCTGGTTTCTCCTGCCTTCGCCTTGGTCCTGGGGGGGCTGGGGGGTGTGCTGTCGCTTCCCCTGACGGCATCAAATGCCAACACATCCAATGAAAAATCAGTTCACACCTACACTTGCACATACATACAAGAATGGTTGAGCGATCAATATCATTATTATTATTACTTTTTAGGGTATGTTATATATATAGGAATTGAACAAGTGTGTGTATGCTACATATACACTCACCTAAAGGATTATTAGGAACACCATACTAATACGGTGTTTGTCCCCCTTTCGCCTTCAGAACTGCCTTAATTCTACGTGGCATTGATTCAACAAGGTGCTGAAAGCATTCTTTAGAAATGTTGGCCCATATT